GGGAGAAAAGGTGCCACATGAACAAGGATTGGGGGCGTTTCCTGCTCTGCACATTGTTATTTGCGAATCAGATCTTCTTTTTCTCCATTTCTCGACTTCTCGCCTCCCCCCTTTCTTGCTTGCTTCATTTCGCCAGTCCAGAAGAGTTGCTGCGATGCTGTGTCAGCGCGGCCGACGGCACGCGAGCATTAGACGTGAGGGAGCGTGCACCCTTGGGATACGTATCTTCAGAAGAGTAGCTTGATTTAATATATATATATATATTTATATATATATATATATATATATATATATATATATATATATATATATATATACATATATACATATATATATATATATATATATATATATATATATATATATATATATATATATATATATATAATATATATATTATGTATGTGTGTGTGTGTGTATGTGTGGGTACACATATGTATGTGTGTGTATCTATATATGCATATGTGTATGTATGATGTATATGCATACATATATGCATACATATATGTATATATATATATATATATATATATATATATATATATATATATATATATATATATATATATATATATATACATACACACACACACACACACACATATATATATGTGTATGTTTGTGTGTGTGTGTATATGCATGTATGTTTAGAGGTATTGCCTCTCACTTCTTTAAAAATAGATTTAGTCACACAAAGAAGAGACGACGTTATATCATCATACAATTCCTTCATTTACAGCAGTTTCACAGAAAACCTTTCTCTCAACATAAGACCTGTTACATACGACCCCTCCCTCCTTCCCCTCCTGCCACACACTTTCTCAATCATCCGGGGAAATCTGGTTTTCCGGTGTCTCCTTACCGAGTCATTGGGCCATTTCTCTGATATGCAGAGGAGATAACGCTATACGTGGCCCGGCGGTGCTTGGCCTGCGCGCTCCGAAGTCTGGGCAGCGGCGGCGGCGGCCAGCAAGCACCACTCAGCTCGAATTTGCACGATAGGAAGGCTAGGGACGTAAAGGCAGGGCAGCATTTGGCCACCAGGCGATAATCACACGCGTCATTGTAAAAATCACCATCTTTATCGGAAACAACATCTTTCTTGCAATTGACAATATATTTCATGCAACACTACAGTAACTCACATATTTTGTTAAATCCATACTTGTGCAAACACACACCAAAAGAACGTTCCTCCTTTTCTAAGTGCGTGTAAAATCAAATATTTATACACACTGTCGCATTCTCATTCACTTTTTAATTCATACATTATTTCCATGAAACAAGCAAAAACAAAGTCGAAAAACACACCCCTTACCATGAAAACGAACGAAACAAATGAAATTAAGAAAATAACCATGATAACTACAAGAGTAACAGTACCCGGAGGCTTACCGTCTGGAAGCGGCATCCTGCAGTCGCCACGGACTCCGAGCGAGAGTGTGCGGGCCCACAGACGCCGCGAGGCCGAGTGCCACGGCGGCTCCTGGCGCCTCCCACGATGACTCTCCTCGCTCTGCCTCGCCTTCTTCTCTTTCTGCTTAACCTCTGCACCTTTACGATATATTTTTTGCGTCTTATTAAAACTGATGTTTCCATTTGAAATTTAGATGTTCGCTTCTTTATTTTCCTTTCATTTTAAGCTACTCAGTTTGGAGTTCCTTTATGGTATTTTGTCATTATGAGATAAAGAGGACGAGAGAGGTAGAGAGAGAGAGAGAGAGAGAGAGAGAGAGAGAGAGAGAGAGAGAGAGAGAGAGAGAGAGAGAGAGAGAGAGAGAGAGAGAGAGAGAGAGAGGGAGAGAGAGGGAGAGAGAGAAAGAGAGAGAGAGAGAGAGAAGAGAGAGAGAGAGAGAGAGAGAGAGAGAGAGAGAGAGAGAGAGAGAGAGAGAGAGAGAGAGAGAGAGAGAGAGAGAGAGAGAGGGAGAGAGAGAGAGAGAGAGAGAGAGGAGGGAGGGAGGGAGGGAGGGAGGGAGAGAGAGGCCAACAGACAAAGAAACAGAGAGAGAGAGAACGGCAGAAAGGTAGACAGATAGAGAGAGTGTGTGTAAGAGCCTTTATTTGTCGTAGAGAGACTTCTACTTAGATTGGTGGGTAGCAATGGTAGGGTTGTAAGGCTTTTTGTTGTTACGGAGAGTACAGCACGAAGGTAATATAAAGTGGCACAGGCCAAGCGGTCACAGCTGGGTAGCAGTGTTCATGGTGAGGCGACGAGGCTCGTTCTGTTCGGTCAGCCTAGGTCAAGGGTTGAGGGTAGTTTAGCTAAATGGAAATCATATGCAAGTCATCGTTTCCAAAATGGCGGCCATGACCCACACCACCTATTCCAACGGGCTTCAAGCAGCATCGTAACAGAAGTACGCGTCCATTAAACGAGGTCCCTTTGGTGCCGGTTAAACCAAGCGAGGTCAGTCAGAGAACGGCATGTATCCCGTTCATCACCCTCGCCTCACTAGCTTAGCTGTCCTTGCCAGCGCCACAGCTCTACGATCAACCAGAA